CCCAAGACAACTTATATATATGTGTGTGTGTACGTATTAGTTGTAGATGGACACTGCCTCTATTTTATTTATTTCTTTTTGTATGGTGCTGAGGATCGAACCCAGTGCCTCACACAGGCTAGATGAGCACTCTTCCACTGAGCTACAGTCAACGCCCCCCCACCACCTACCCAAACTTCTTTTGCCTCCTTTCTTCYATACTTCCACTTTAAATTCGGGCAGGCAGGAAGTCTTAGAGTTGCCCTGGATATCTTTCTGATGCTGTCCTTTGTTCTCTTACTGTCATTCCTCATGTTTATCAAGTCCTGATTTCTGTGGTTTTCTTTTTTCTTTCTATTCTCTTTTCTTCTTCCTTTTCTCTCCTTCCTTTCCTTTGTCCCTCTTTTCATTCCTACTATCTTCTTCTTTATCCTTTTTTCTTTTTTAACTTTTTAAAAATCCTATCTATGGATCAATCTTCTTGCATTTTATAGGAAGTATAGGTTTATTTTAGAAAAAAAAGACTACCTATCATCTAATTATAATTGTATAATTAATTATAGTCCCTTCAGTAATACATTACTCTTCCAAATTCTTTATTCTGCAAGGGATAATAGTCAGGCCAGCCACATCTGTGTTACTACTTAGTGAGTACCATCACATAGCAAGATTTAATATTCAATGTTTCAGTAGTCAGCATTTCCTAAGAACAACTTGAATTATTTCTCTTTCATTTCTGCTTTTATTCATATTATTTCCTTTACCTGAGATGTCTTTCCATGATTGGTGTCAACTCATGTGTTCATGGGTCAGGTATTCCCTGTGTCAGTTGGGTTAGGTGCTTTTTTTTTCTGTTTTCATGAACCCACTCTGTCTCTAATCCAGACACTGCCATTATCATCTGTTAATCTGGGCGCTTTTTGTGCTGTGTCATTTCGTTTTGAATTACTAGTGCTTGTAGGTAGTAAGGGTGTAGSGCAGAACCTTTCCTATGGAAGTGTGTTCCACATCATCAGGATCAGACTGTCTTCCTGTCGAGATCCTCTTTAGAACACAGTTCTAAAGTTCTTTAGAATGCAGTTCTTCTGGATCTTCGCTTGGGCCTCTGATAGCCAGTTGGAGGCAGGAGAGTTGGGCATATACCATGCACCCAGCCTAATCCACCTCGTGCTGCATTCTTTTCAGAATCTTTTCTCATAAATTGGCTTCCAGATTATTGAGACTGACTTTAGGATACATTGATATCTGATATCTGATAATAGGTAATGATAGAGTAACTAGAGGTATACTGAGGAAAATGAGAAAACCATTTTAGGATAAACTGTTTTTTGCTGTAATCCATGGGAGCCAATTATAAAAATGTGCATAACGAAAAATATGCAGCACTTTTCTTTTAAATGTGCTCCATGTATCACTTTAAATGACCTCTGATTGGTTGTCTTTTATAAATTTAAATGAGAAAGGTGTGTACTGGATCTATTATAGTGACGCTGCCAGGAATAGGCTGCCAGAATAAGCCATGAATGGCATAAGAATGAGATGATTGCTATATAATTAGATTTGTTATTGAAATTTTTAAACATTTATTCTCCATCAAAAGTATATCACCAAAGCACACTCTAGTCTGGAATGAATTTTTGAAGTACTATACCTGAAAAAACATTCCTATGTGTATTAGTAGATTAATTCTGATTATAGTTATTTTCAGCCAGGATCATGTTACAGATTTCTTCAAGTTATTTGAGAGTTCAGTATTTGGAGTTTTTCTTTAACAACTTAGCTTTTTATTATTTATTTTTAGTACTTTGGGGATTTAATATAGGGCCATTTTGATACTGAACTATATCCCCAGCCATTTTTTATTTTTTTATTTTGAGACAGGTTTTTGCCAAGTTACTAGAGCCTAACTAAGTTGCTGAGGTTGGCCTCGAACTTGCAATCCTCCTGCTTTAGACTCCTGAGTTGCTGGGATTACACAGGTTTTTATTTTGAAGGTTTTACTTTTTTGACTATCAGCCCATAACCTCAAGTCCTCTTAAATTAGTACCTCATAATTGTCTTTGTTGCTATCAATTATAGTACTTGAAAATGAACCACATCTGAGGAAAGGTTTGTGTTTAGTTCAAACAAATAGTCTTTTCCCGCATTGAAAATAAGTACATGTGCTAAAGTGTCATGTTAAGAGTTCTGAAGCTTTGAAAATATTTCCCCTTGACATATTCTTTTAGATATTATTGTTACTGGTTTTTGCTACATATTATAAGGAGTATAGAATTAAATTGAGTTAAAGACCTTGAAAAAAAGCCAATCTTTTAATATTTTTCTCTTCTTTAGTGAAATAGTTCTATTTAAAGATGTATGTAAATAAATTATAGATGAAAACCATGGAAAATACTACATGGAAGGAAAAAAATTAAAACTTGGGTTAAAATAGAATAAAATGTGGTCATAGTCCTCAGTCAGTGAGAAACAATTTAAAATCTGTTCTTTTTCATGCTTATTAGTTATATTGAATGTTTCTATATAACATTGATTTACATTCAGGTGGCTCTATATTCATTTGCTTTTGGGTGAAAGATGTAGTTTGTATTTTCTGGAATGGGTCCATAGACATCAATCAGGTCAAGTCAGTGATAATGGTGCCATGAATTACTATTCTTGGTGAGAGATTTCCACCTGTGCTTACATCTCCCTTAAGTAATTCATCTATTCATTTAACCAATATATACTGAGCCCTTACTTCCTTCCAAATATTAATAACATTCTTCCTGCAGTCTCAGAAGGAATATAAACAGAGCATTAGCTTACTAACAGTAGAATTTAATATTTTCATTTATCTGAGAATAGTAGTCATACCAAGTGTGTGAGTTTATCACTGAATGACTTTGCCACTTCCCCTCTAGTTAGTCTGTTCATCCCGTTGAAGGAGAAATGTACTTGTGGTCAGAGCACATGAGGCTTAAAGATTGCAAAATCAAAGAAATATTSATGATATGTGGTGATTTCTTGGGAATCTTAGTTGTACAAACAGACGTTTAAAGCATTTTATAGGGAAGCACAGTAACTCTGAAGCAATATAGTAGCTATAACAAGAAAACTTTAATCTCAGATTTTGCACACTTTCTTTTTCTCTGCCTGTGTTAAAGAAAAAAATGAGTTACCCCTTTGGATTCAAGTGTAACTGTCTGAAYAGAGTACCTGGTGATAGTATCCCATATTAGTATTTTGATTTTTTGAAAATCAGGTTCTCCTCACCTCCAGTGAATTGAGAAATGCATATAGAAATTTTGAAATATGATGCATTTATTTCAGTACAAGTTTTAGTTACTTTGGGCACTTAAGTGCTAGGTTAGAATGTTCTAGACTGTATCCTCTAGTGTCTGGCTTTGACATCTCTTACACTCTTGACTGTCAAGTTGCTGCCTGAGAGGATGCCTCATTCTTAGCTTTCTGGTTAAATAATGCTCTGTTATCAACAAATGGAAATCTGTGGGCTTGTGCTGTAGATATAGACATGGTCTGAAGTGAACCATTATCATCCTTTGATTGAAGGCAGTGAGAGACCTTCATAAACTCTTATCTTAATGTATAACCAGTGTCAGGCTGTTTATGAGTTAATGCACATTTCCTAGAACTGTAATACTGAACATAAATTTAGAGGTTGCCCTAATTGAGGAAGCTGTTGGCCAGAGAGATTAAGTAACTAGATCAAGATCATGCCTCTCTTTAAGCAGTGAATGGTGACTTCAGTCTTAGTTCCATACAGTAGAGGTACAAAGGTGTCTCTCAGTGCATTAAAGAATATTATTTGCATTTTAAGTAGTGCCTTTATTTGATTTTGAGATGCTTGAGACTTTTCTCGGGGAGCAATTTGGATATGAGCAGCGATCACACATGTCATTTTTGAGCAGCTGTTGAAGAAGGCAGACCATGATTATGCCACTCGATTTATATATTACATCTGGTTGCTGGAAAAAAAAATTAAAATCCACAGATATTTGGAAAGGAAAATATCTCACTTTTTGGAGTATTTCAGTCAAAAGTTTTATTTTAAACCATGCATCCTRGCTTCTCAGGGATGGCACTCAATCAGGCTGCCTGTTGAGGGTACACACTGTGAAGGGAGGAACTGTGAGTGCCCTTTGAAGGCCTGCATAGCCCCAGTACTGTGCAATTTCAACTTTGGGAAAGAAAGCAGAGTAGTAGTGACTTTTATGGGGGAATTATCTTATTTTGGCATTGGAACATCCCCATGATCCACTCATAGGAGTTTCTGGGAGCCATTTTCTATGAGGCAAAGCATTAATCAAGTAAGGTCCAGGAAGATTTTCTTCTTTTCATTTGTCTTTGGTTGAGAACAATTTGAAGCTCTTTACATGGATCCTCCTTCACCATGATTTCCTGCCTACTCTCTTCCTTTTATGTTTAGTTTCATTGTGCATGCATGAGCTTCCATTATGAGCCATTTTGTGTGGTCATTTTAGAATCCTATTTTACCAAACAGATAGACCTCATCTTTGCCTGCAGCCTCATTGCTGTAGAAACTGAACAGAAGATTTCCTTGGAGAACATCTGTGTTGAGTAATCTCTGAGCAACTGCCTCTGGTTTTGACAGCAAGCCTTAGCTTTGTGTAAAGAAACCCCCTGTGATTTGGATGCTTCTGCAGGACTGTGATTTGAAGGAGGGAGTAGTGAAACATACTCAGTAGAAAATGTTTTTCTAAGTTTTCCTAGGTATATATTATTAAATCTTTTGAATTCGTTATGGTGCTTTTATTATTTACTTTCGTCTGCTACTTTGGCCTAAAATATTAAGCAAAATGAACCCCTCAGAGGGAAGCTTGAGAAATGGAGAGGGAATTTCTTTGGCTCTGATTATTTAAGTGATTTCATAGAAACTAGGAGCACTATTTTATTTTTTTTAATGTAGATTACTTTGCAGTCCCCACCCCCACCTGCCTGTAGAGAACTCATGAATTAATGATATGTGTAAAGTAACATCCATCTTTTCTATACTTTAGGTCACTTCAGGTGGAACATTCATTGGCATCGGACGGAAAACACCAGATTGCCAAGGAAACACCAAGTATTTCCGCTGTAAATTCTGCAATTTCACTTATATGGGCAACTCATCCACTGAACTAGAACAGCATTTTCTTCAGACGCACCCGAACAAAATAAAAGCTTCTCTCCCCTCCTCTGAGGGTGCAAAACCTTCTGAGAAAAACTCTAACAAATCCATCCCTACACTTCGATCCAGTGATTCTGGAGACTTGGGAAAGTGGCAGGACAAGATAACAGTCAAAGCGGGAGATGACACTCCTGTTGGCTACTCAGTGCCCATCAAGCCCCTTGATTCCTCGAGACAAAATGGTACAGAGGCCACCAGTTACTACTGGTGTAAATTTTGTAGTTTCAGCTGTGAGTCATCTAGTTCCATTAAACTGCTAGAACATTATGGCAAGCAGCATGCAGCAGTGCAGTCAGGCGGCCTTAATCCAGAATTGAATGATAAGCTTTCCAGGGGCTCTGTCATTAATCAGAATGATCTAGCCAAAAGTGCAGAAGGAGAGCCAATGACCAAGGCAGACAAGGGCTCAAGTGGAGCTAAAAAGAAGGACTTCTCCAGCAAGGGAGCAGAGGATAATATGGTAACAAGCTATAATTGTCAGTTCTGCGACTTTAGATATTCCAAAAGCCATGGCCCCGATGTCATTGTAGTGGGGCCGCTTTTGCGCCATTACCAACAGCTCCATAACATTCACAAGTGTACCATTAAACACTGTCCATTCTGTCCCCGAGGCCTTTGCAGCCCAGAAAAGCACCTTGGAGAAATTACTTATCCGTTTGCTTGTAGAAAAAGTAATTGTTCCCACTGTGCACTCTTGCTGTTGCACCTGTCTCCTGGGGCGGCTGGAAGCTCGAGGGTCAAACACCAGTGCCACCAGTGTCCCTTCTCTACCCCTGATGTAGATGTGCTCCTCTTTCACTATGAGACTGTGCATGAGTCCCAAGCCTCCGATGTCAAACAGGAAGCAAATCATCTGCAAGGATCAGATGGGCAGCAGGCTATCAAGGAAAGCAAAGAACACTCATGTACCAAATGTGATTTTATTACCCAGGTGGAAGAAGAGATTTCCCGACACTACAGGTAATCCATACAGGGGGGCAAAGTACCAGGAAAATAACAACAAGAGTCCAGGGAGTGAGTCTGATGGCTTGGAAGTTGCAGGACATGATCGCTTTAGAGATCATTTATAGAATCTCACAAAATACATTTATAGATGTCGTGCCCTTTGATTTTAATTTGGTTACTTGTACTCCTGTTTCATATCTGTTTTATACCATTTACTGAGTATATTTTAAAATTCTCAGTGATGCTTACAATACAATGCTGCTAATTTTACTTTTTCTTTAAATCTTGAATATTTATTTTTTAGATGTAGTTGGACACAATACCTTTATTTTGTTTACTTATTTTTATGTGGTGCTGAGAATTGAACCCAGGACCTTGCATGTGCTAGGTGAGCGTGCTACTGTTGAGCCACAACCCCAGCCCCTAAATTTATTTATTGACCATACTCTCTTTATTTGTCCTTTCTAATATGACTTCTTATCCTATAATTGTTGATGGAACAGCTCCCAAATGAAAGGTTCTATTAGAATATATTTTATTCTTTATTCCAACTGGGAAACAATCAATTTGAGAACGTGCGGTTCATTTTATCCTTAAAATGAGATTGGACATTCTTCTCACTTTGAAAAAAATGGACAATAATCTTGATTGTCAAGGTGAGTGTTTTGTAGCATGTGTGATTTTGGACGTGCACTTGCTCCTCTGAGCAGGTAAAACTCAATTTATTTCAAGTTCATAGGTAGAGGAGGGTACATTTGTGTTGTATTTTACTTTGACTTTATTCTCTTTATAAGCATCAATTTTCCTGGTTAACTTTTCATAYCTTCTAGAGATGTGCTCAGGTTACATGTCTTTATTTCATTTATGTATCCATGCCTTAATTAATTTTTAGAATATGCATGTGCCTGTCAGACATTGGTTGGCTGTACAGGAGTCAACTGCACAGTGGCCTCATGGACCTTACAGTTCAGCAGGGAAGACAGCACTTTGCAGATCATTTTGAGTGATGAGTATCATAAAAGATGAACTACAAGCCCTATGTTTGAAATGACCATAATAACAGTGTAGCTCAATGTGGATAGAAAGTGCTTTCCTGAGAAAGGTGCATTAAAACTAAGTCTTGGTTATAAGTAGGCACTAGTTTGGCAAAGCTCTGGAGATACCTGGTGTTCAGATTTTACTTAGTATGTTATTAAGCATCTTGGCACCAAAGTAATGAATTTTATTTACCATTTTTAAGTGCTTTTTCCATATGTAGATCCAATATCCTAACTTAAAAATCTAGCATTTCAATTTTTACATTCCAAAATTTTAATCAGGCCTTTCCATTCTTTTTCGGAGTTGTGCATGAGTGCCAGTGAGGGTGTCTTTTCAGTCACCAGTAATGAAGCAGTTCATGTCCAACAATAGACTAATAATGTTAGATGTTAATTTGAAGGGCATCCTAATGTTCACAGTGAATCAAAATGTTCAGAAAACACTTACTTGAGATTTACACTGTTTAATTTATAAGGTCAGCCCTAGGAAAGACACAGTCCTGCAATCAAATATGTGTTCACACTTGCAATGAGTGTTTCTGGCTCCTCTGATGTTAGCTGCATGCTAATTTATTTCTGGGGCTAGCAGACATCAGCTTCTTTCTGAGCTTTGCTGGCGTGGATGTGTGAGAATGGGTGAGTATGTGCATATTTTGCAGGTATATTTGTTAAGTGATGTAAAAATCAGATAATCCCTTCTTTCTTTGAAAAGGGAGGCATTTTTGAAGAGATCTCATGATTTTTAAAAAATATTAGTCCCTCTCCCCCCATACTAATATAGCTAGTTATCATATGATTTGAACCAGTGTCTTTTCTCTAGGAAGGTAAAACCATTGTCAGAGAAAACTTAGTTTCCATATGCTTTAGATAAAGAAAATAATCTCCCCCCCAAAAAACAAATGTGAATAAAAATACTGTTGATTATGTCAGGATTTAGTTAATATTCAGTGATGAAAGTAAGCYCTAGAAGAAGAGACTATTCTGTTCCTGCTTCCCACCGTGTCTGCACAGTTTAACACTGCCAGCATGTCTAATAGATGCTTAGTGAATGTCTGTATGCAAATGAATTTCCCATGAGCATTTTACTTCACAGGAGTTAGAATGAGCTGAGATCTCCAAGGTGCTACATTTTAATCTTTCACAATTATGGTCTTGGATGCTATTGAGGAACTAGGGTTCCATGTCAAAGGACAGTTGTCTGCTCATTTCAAATTTAATCAACCTCTCAGCATTTTATTTGCTAAGAAATTAAACAGCACMTGTCCTGAGGGCATTCAACTACCCTTATACTTATTTTTAAATCCTGATGTAATTTTGCTCACCCAAGAACCTTTAAGGTGCTGAGTAGTTTAATCTGTTGGTGAGTTCTTTCGGAAATATTTAAATTTGGAGACTCACCATTTCGRGAGTCGAAACTCAGGAGGAGGAAGTGTAAGGAAACTTTCCTCAAAGCTGAACAGCAGTGGAGGCCCAAGGGATGTGAAAGGAAATAGTCACCTGGATGCTTACAATTTGATCAAGCATCTTCCTTAAATCCTGAGTTTGAAGATGAAACAACAGAAGACCATTTCCTTATCACTGTCCTATCTTTCAGGTTATATTTATGTTTATGCATATTATTTGTGTTAGGAAGCATCTACCAAAATTCTGTATTACTGCTGTGGAATATTCTAGGTGTTTGAGCACTTAATATACAAGACTCATAGTAGGATAATATTACTGTATTCCACTTGTGGATCTGTCTTTCTCTATATATTGCCTTTTTGTTCTTATTAAACAGTGAATCAAATCTACCATTTTCATCAAAATTTCAGTGTCATAACTTATGTTGCTGGAGTAAGTGGAACCATTTTCTTACACAACAGCTATGCCAGATAGCAAATACTCTGCAGTGCATTGTTAGGCTTCCACACATGCAGGGGAACTATGAAGCTTTTCTTCTTCTCTTCTCTGCCAAGAGGTGAGCTAAACACAGATTAAGGAGAAGTAAAAGTAAACTTGGAATGTGAGGTTGCACTGGGGGAAAATGTCAACTTTGATGCTGCAGATGGCTGAGAGACTAAGACTGGAGTCACCTGCAGAGCTAGGGCCCAAATCTGTGTTTTACTTTAAGCCGGGACCTTGAASGTGGTGAAAGTGTTTCCACATTGGGTGTCTCCCTCTGTCTTCTGGCAGAAGTCAGCCTGAATTTGTCTACAGAAAAGTACTGAGTTTTTACTGACAAGCTATCCATGGATTAATGAAATATTATATGAGCTTGCCATTAGAAAAAAAGTTTATCATATGGAAAGGGAAATAAACCACCCTCCATGACATCAGTGGAAAAACAAAACCAAAAAAAGATGGATTTAGAAATAAAGGAATTTCAGATACAGGAGTTTTCAGTTATAAGATAATAAATAGATAAGTGTTTAAAGAAGTAAAATAACTATTAAAGTTAGATCTAAGAAATTAAACTACAAATTATCAGGGAGCCAAAAAAGAGACAAATAGCATTTTTTTTTTTTTTTACTTAAGAAATGTTACTATTGAAGCTTGAAATAGAGAGAGATTAAATGAAGATTAGAAAATAATAGAGAGCAAATGAGCTAATCAGAATGAGACATTAAACAATGTTTAAGAGAGAGTAAGGAGATGGAAAATATCAGAGGCAGATATAAGATATGGAAATATAATAAGATGTTCCAATAGACAATTAGAATCCCAGGAGCAGATAATATAGAGAATGGAGCATAGGTAACCAGTATTTGAGGAGAAAACAAACAAGGATTTTCTAGAACTGATGAAAGGTACTAATACACAGATACATAGCCTACACTAAGAAGCATATATACAAATAAATTTAACAACAAACACATTATGGCAAAAGTTGAAACACCAGGTAACACAGATCCTTAAGAGCAGCTAGAAACAAACAACAGATCAACTACTCAGAAAAGATTATTAGTTAACCAATTTTAGCAATGATGGAAACAGGAAGAAGGAGGAATATTACCAAATGTTTTAGGGGGGAAAAATCAACCTAAAACTGTCTACCCATCAAAACTATCTTCTGAAAATAAAAGCAAAGGAGTTGGGAAAGATCTTGATACATCTAAACAAACATAGTCTTCATTTATGCAGGTTAAAAAGGGAGAGACTAAGGTATTAAGCAATGTTTCTCTGGATATTTGAAGGGAAAATGACCAGAATTAAGATCTAAGGTGTTCGAATTATGTGTAGTTAGTGAGTTTGAACCTCATTATGAATACTTGGAAAAATTAAGGATAACTAATGAAAGAATAGGAAATGAGTACATAGTTTCCAAAGCTGTAGAGTAGAAAAATGGAATAGCGGAGTAAAGAACACATGTAAAATTCAATCTGTCTTTTTAAGCATGTCAAGAGAGGGTATATGAGAAAAATTGGACAAATAGAACTTTAGAAGTAAAATGGTAAAAAAGCCCACATATCAAAAATGTTAATAAGAATTGTGGATTAAACTTGCACCTTACAAGATATTATCAGACAGTATTAAAAAAGAAAATCCAACCTTCTGCTGTTTATAGGATATGGAATTGTACCTAAAATACAAATCTTCCGAGAGTTTGAAAGAAAAGAATAGACTGAGTTAAACCAGATAATATAAATCAAGGGAAAGCTGAGAGGGCTTTTTAAATCTCATATAATAGACTTTAAGACAAAGAGCAAGAATAAGTTTAATTCATTCCATCTACAGTTCTAAATGCATGAAATAAAAATAGGTAAAGCAAAAATTGATAGAGGAGCTACAGGAAAAATACAATAAACCACAATCTCAATGGTGAGCTACTCTTATTAAATGTTAAGCAGAAATTCTTTTCCAAAATTTCAAAGATTTGACCAACAGAATAATAAACCTAATTTATATAAATTTAAAAAATATAAACTCTACACCAAACAATTAGAGACTGCTTTTCAGTCGGGTTCGGACTAGCTACACAATCTGACAGTTTTTAAG